ATATACAGATGAAACCAGAAGACAGGCTCTGAGGAAACAAAGAGAGTATCTCTACTGTGGGCTCATCATAGCCATCTAGGGATGGCTTAAGTTTCCAAACTCAAGTGGAAGGACAACGATGAGGTAATTATCTTGATGATCACTATCAACACCCATCTTTACCCCCTCTTCTCTTCTGAAAGGCACTCTTTTATTCTTGTTTGAAGATAGTGTCTCCACTTGTGTATTCCCCATGCCATCTCCTCTAACCTCCTCTGAGACTCTCCTTGCTCCATCACCTATCCCTTTGCATGTCATTCATATTTCCTTCTCTCTGGACTTAGATTCTTTGCCTAGAATCTTGGTCAAGTTTTTCTTTTACTAAAAACTAAAGTAATAATAAACATGAATATCTTCTATCAATCCTCTTTCACCTCTAGTTTTGTTTTTGTTTTTTGGTTTTTGGTTTTTTTTTTTTCTCTCTCTCCCTCTCTTTACTTCACCAACAGTCTTTTTGAAATAATAGGCTGCATTTGTGGTTTTTACTGTTCACCTCCCCACCTCAGTGCAGTCAGGATTCTTGACCCAGTGCCTTGTTTACTAACAATTCTGATGGTGCCTTTCCTCCCTTGAACTCTGTGATATCACCCTCTTGGGTTCTCCCACTTCTCTGATCCATTTAAAAATATTTTTCTGGTCTTCTTTTCTCCAAAAATATGCGTGCTTCCCCATCCTCTGTCCTCAGCCCCCTACTCAAACTATTTTGCTCAAACAATGTTTCTGAAATCAATGGTCAACATGGTCCTCAGGTTACTGGTCCATTACTCATATTATTCCCTCTTCCTGGAATGTCTTCTCTCTCTCATCCTAAAAAGGTACTACTTTTGCTGGACACCCACCATAGCTCTGAAACAGTTTCCTTAATCCTGTTCTCCAAAACCCTTTTTTTCTAAAGTGATTTTTGTTACATCTCCATCATGGAAGTCCGCCTCAATTTCTTAATTTGTTGTTTAGCTCAAATGATGGCAATCTCTATATGGCTCCTATTATCCAGTTACCTGACAAAAATCCTGGCTCATAATATAATTAGCACCTTGTAAATTTACATTCACATCAACATGCATAAGATTAACTTTATCTCCGGGAGAAAGAGTTACAATTAAAATATAAGTACAGTGTAGTAGTGAAGTAATCATTATTCTCAGTTTTTTTTTTCATCTGAAAAATCAGTTGAGACAAATCAAAGACCTACTCCCAAATACCTGACAAGATAGTTGGGAAGATTAAAAATGATGATGGATCTAAAAATTCTTTGAAAGGTATTAAGCTCCCGACATGTAAATTACTAAATTGAAGGTAAGTCTTTCTTCAGGTACTTATATATTACACATTAAGGGCAGGGCACTAAAGGGAAATGAAAAGAGAGCAAAAAGTATAAGAGCATGCTATAATGGAAGGAGCAGGAACTGAAAAATGAGACCTGGGTGTCTGTTACTGACAAGATCTGAGATGCTAAAAAAGACACTTTACCTGCCTAGATCTTCTTTTTCAATTACAAAATTAAAGTGTTGGTCAGATATTTTGAAGGTCCTTTCTGTTATTAATAATCCATGGAAGGAGATGGGAGAGACTTTTAACACTTATCATATGGTTCTTCCTTAAAACTGTTTCTTCAAATATCCTCCAAACCCCTTGCTCCTCTTTTCTTCCATTGTTTTCATCTGGCCAGATTCCAAACCTGATTTGACTCCACCCTGGCAGCTAGACATTGCCAGAGAATATCACTCAAGAAAGCAGGTTTGTTTCACTTTCTTAAATTATGATCTCAAAGATCAAATTGCCAGTCAATACTGCCTGACAATCATAGTATTTGTTCTAGTAAGATAGCCTTTTCATTTCTAGATATGACTATTTTACAACTTTTCCTACCCCAGACCTCCTGTATGTCCTTCTCTACCCTCACTTTTACAGTCCTACTTCTTTGAGGAAACAGAAACTATTAGAAGCAAACTCCATCATCTTCCTGAGATTAAATGTAGCAACTTAACTATAAATCTGTCCATTTTATCTAGCCCTCTTCTTTTTTTTCTAGCCCTCTTCTTGTTAAAAAGATGTCCTTATCAAAGATTAACCCCTCCTCTTGTGCTCTGTATCCCATACCTTCTCACTTTCTAAAAGATTTCACTCCCAAAATTTGCTCCTTATTTACTTGTGCATTATCAATGTCCCTTCTATGCTGAATCACTTTCATTAGCATACAAAAGGTAGGGTCAATGCTCATTTCTCTATAGTTACCACTCAATTCCACTGTTCTCCTTCAGTCTCTATCACTCCACTGACTCTATTAGTCATGTAACCAAATATAAGAGACTATTCGATATCTTCTTTTAATCTCACAACAGCTGTTATCACAATCAACAATTCTCTTGGAATATGGCTTCTGTTATTCTATTTACCCTTGGTTTTCATTCTACCTCATTGACTCCTCTTCTTCAGTCTACTTTTCCTGTCCTGTGTCAGGTCTAAGAGAAAAAAAGGTTTTAAAGCTCAGTGTAAGGCATTCTTATATATCCATAATTTCTCTGTAGGTCAGCTTGTCCATTATCATGGATTTGAATATTATCTATATTCTGATATTTCCTAACTTTATATTCCATTCTAGCCCTCTTCTCTGAGCTACATAGTCGCAAATCCAGCTGTCAGCTTCTCCTCTCCACTCAGAATTCTCATAAACATCTCAAATTTATTATCTCCAAATTGATCTTGTGCTTCCCCTAAATTTTTCCTCCACATTATCACTGTTTAAATGAGTGGAACTAGTTACTCAAGCCAGAAAATTAGGAGTTATCTTTCATAGTTCACTATCACTCTTCACATCTAATTTTTTTAAAGATTCCATCCATTCACTCATGAGACACACACAGAGAGAGAGAGAGAGAGAGAGAGAGAGGCAGAGAGAGACAGAGACAGAGACAGAGACAGAGGCAGAGAGAGAAGCAGGTGCCACGCAAGGAGTCAGATGTGAAATCCAATCCCAGGACCTCGGGATCACGCCCTGAGTCAACGGCAGATGCTCAACCGCTGAGCCACCCACGCATCCCACTTCACATCTAATTTATTAGTAAGTCTTGATATTTCTGCCTCCAAAATGTATCTTGAACCTGTCTTCTGTCCATCTTTTTTGCAACCACCATATTAAGGATTACTATCATCTTGTTGAAATAGTCTCTTACCTGTCTCATTCTGGTTCATTAAGTTTTCCCTCTAATTCCTTTATTAAACAGAATCAAAAGTGATTTTAATCTCTAAATTGAATTATAATGCTGCCTAACACCCTCTAACAAATTCTTATAGTATTTAAGTTTATTATTTATTTATTTGTTTTTAAGTAATCTCCACATCAAGGTGGGGTTCAAACTCATAATCCTGTGATCAAGAGTTGCACACTCTTCCAGCTGAGCCAGCCAAGGGCCCTCCTGTAGTATTTAAAATCTATGTGTCATAGCATGGTCTACAGGAACCTGAATGATCTGGGCCTTTCCTATTTTTTCTTCTTCATTTCTCTGTCCCTTTGCTTTTCTGTTTATTTTTTTCTCTCTCCAACTCCCCTTCTACCATATGTTGGGTTTCATTTTTCAGTTTACTTCAGTTTTTCTAATACTTTAAATAATTCCTTCAGGTCCTGTTCCCTCTGCCTAGAATACTGTACTGCCTCCCAACTCTTACGTGACTATCTCTTTCCCCTTGTTTAGGTCTCAATGTTTTTATGATTTTCTTGACCACAGCAACAAAAATATCCCTCTCCCAAACACCCATACATATATTTCCTATTTGGGTCCTTGTTTCTTACATTCATAGTAGACAACTTAAAATTATTTTATGGGTCTCTTTCCTTGTTTTTAGTCTTTCTTTTCCACTAAAATGTTAAGTCCATGAGACATAGAGAGTATTCCTGACTTGTTAAAAAATTCGTGACCTTTCCCTTATTTTATCCTAAGTGCCTTTCAAAGAGTTTTGCACATAGTAGGCACCTAATAAATATTGTTGGATGGATAAATGAATGTACTAAATACTTAATATTGGCCAGTGATTGTAAAAAACATGTACTAGAATCAATATGCTATTCTACAGATGAGGAAATGGACTATCAGATGAGTGATGTGACTTGTTCAAAGGCACACAGCCATTAAGTAGCAGAGCTGGAATCTGAATTCAGGTATGATTCTTTTTACTATAACTAACCATCATCCTACCATCAGTAGTTCACCTTCACTCCACTATACTTCCTCTACAAATGTTTAGAGAACTTGTTATCAAAAAGTTTTAAAGATTAGACATCCTTCAACATAGTGAATTTCAATTCATGTAATTTAATTGGTATGGAATTTCTAAAACAAAAAACAGATTTTATCATTGACTTTATACAATTTACACATAAGTGATTCAGAATCCCCACTGCTGATGAAAACACCACTAGCAGCTGTAGAAGCAACCAGAATAAGATCCCCAAGGATAGAACATTTTCCTTCTGTCTTTTTAAAATAAATATCAGGAAAAATGTGCATATTTATGTGTCACAGTCACAGTTTCGAGGCCTTATACATTATATATATGATCAGGTAATTGAAGTAATGGATGAACCTTCCAAATGGTTCCTGGGGGCCTTCGGTCAAATTTATTAAGATTAAGAATCCTCAGCTTCCTGGGATCCCTGGGTGGCGCAGCGGTTTAGCGCCTGCCTTTGGCCCAGGGCGCGATCCTGGAAACCCAGGATCGAATCCCACGTCAGGTTCCCGGTGCGTGGAGCCTGCTTCTCCCTCTGCCTATGTCTCTGCCTCTCTCTCTCATTCTGTGTGACTATCATAAATAAATAAATTAATTAAAAAAAAAAGAATCCTCAGCTTCCTGAAAAAAGCCAGTTATACTTGACAAGTATGATGCCTCTAAGCAGTTTGATTTTTTTCTAAAAATAGCGTTTGATCAATGGTCATTCTTTATATTTTTACTTTTAGATCTGAGTCATGGCTAGCACTGAAGAAGAAAATATAACTCAAATTACAGAATTTATCCTTTTCGGTTTTGGGGATCTCCATGGCCTTCAGTTTCTTCTTTTTGGGGTATTTCTGGTCATCTATGTGGTGACTCTCATGAGCAACATTGTAATCCTAACTGTTGTGTCAGCTGATCACTCCCTTCACACCCCCATGTATTTCTTTCTTGGCCACTTCTCCTTCCTAGAGATTGGGTACACCACTACCATTGAGCCCATGATGCTGAGGACATTCTTATCAGCTCATGTGCCTATTTCCTTCCCAGGCTGTGCTTGCCAGTTTTATTTTTTTGCTTCTCTGGTGGCCACTGAATGCTTCTTCCTGGCTGTCATGTCTTATGATCGCTATATAGCTATCTGTAACCCATTGCATTACTCCAGTATAATGGACTACTGGGGTTGCTTACAGCTAGCTGGTGCTTCTTGGGTGGCTGGATTTCTGGCACCCATCCTTCTCATGGTCCTCATTTTTTGGTTAACATTTTGTGCTGACAATAAGATTGACCACTTCTTCTGCGATTTGAAACCCATCATGAAGCTTGCCTGCACTGATACTCAAGTAGCTGAGATGACCTCTTTTATATGTACCTCCTCATTTGCCCTCGGCCCCTTCCTGCTAACTCTAGCATCTTATATCATCTCCACCATTCTGAGGATTCCTTCTACTGCAGGGAAACAGAGGGCTTTCTCCACCTGTTCCTCCCATCTGACAGTAGTCAGTCTGTACTATGGAATGCTAGGCATTGTCTATGGCTTCCCATCAGGGCCTCAGCATGAGGACTTATTGAAGTCACTTTCCCTTCTGTATACAGTGCTTACCCCTTCCCTCAACCCTATTACTTACATGCTAAGGAACAAAGATGTAAAGGTGGCTCTAAGAAAATTGGTACAATGAGGAATGTATACCTCACCAAAAGAAAGTTTGATTTTTTTCTAGTAGTTCTTGGCACTTTCTGAAAACCTCAACAAAGTGCAAATCTCTCTAGAGTGTCAACAATAGTCACTGTGAAACTGATAGGTTTTCCTTTGTTCCATCAACTATCTCCACATTAATGAACAGGAAGTATGTTATGCTTCATTTTTTGAATATTTTGTAGGTATCAGGCACTGTGCTAAGTTCTTTGCATGGATTATTGTGCTAAATCCTCACAGCAACACTGTGAGGTAGCTACCATTATTATCCCCATTTTACAAATATTACAACTGAGTCCCAGAAATTAATTCACTTGTTCAAAATCATCCAGCCAAACCTTAGTGATGCCAGAATATGAATTTGAACCCAAGGTCTGCTTGGCACCAAATCTATTATTTTTCCACTAATTCAGGGATCCCAGAATGGACTGCCAAAAATGGTTATCTTGTATCATAGAAGACATTACTGCAGATGACATTTCTCAGGAAAACATGAGTTAGGGCAGCCTGGGTGGCTCAGCAGTTTAATATATTTTTTTAATTTTTTTATTTATTTATGACAGTCACACACACACACAGAGAGAGAGAGAGAGAGAGAGAGAGAGAGAGAGAAGCAGAGACACAGGCAGAGGGAGAAGCAGGCTCCATGCACCGGGAGCCCGACGTGGGATTCGATCCCGAGTCTCCAAAGGCAGGCGCTAAACCGCTGCGCCACCCAGGGATCCCTGGCTCAGCAGTTTAGCACTGCTTTCAGCCCAGGGCCTGATCCTGGAGACCTGGGTTTGAGTCCCACGTCAGGCTCCCTGCATGGAGCCTGCTTCTCCCTCTGCCTGTGTCTCTGTCTCTCTCTCTCTCTCTCTCTCTCTGTGTGTGTGTTTCTCATGAATAAATAAATAAAATATTTTAAAAAAGAAAACATGAGTTAGATATGAAGTGAGAAGTAGAAATGTGAACTGGTGCAGCCACTCTGAAAAAGTGTGTGGAGGTTCCTCAAAGAGTTAAAAATAGATCTGCCCTATGACCCAGCAATTGCACTGTTAGGGATTTACCCCAAAGATACAGATGCAGTGAAACGCAGGGACACCTGCACCCCAATGTTTATAGCAGCAAATGTCCGCAATAGCCAAACTGTGGAAGAAGCCTCGGTGTCCATCGAAAGATGAATGGATAAAGAAGATGTGGTTTATGTATACAATGGAATATTACTCAGCCATTAGAAACGACAAATACCCACCATTTGCTTCGACATGGATGGAACTGGAGGGTATTATGCTGAGTGAAATAAGTCAATCGGAGAAGGACAAACATTATATGGTCTCATTCATTTGGGGAATATAAAAATTAGTGAAAGTGAATAAAGGGGAAAGGAGAAAAAATGTGTGGGAAATATCAGAAAGGGAGACAGAACATGAAGACTCCTAACTCTGAGAAACGAACTAGGGGTGGGGGAAGGGGAGGTGGGCGGGGGTTGAGTTGACTGGGTGAGGGGCACTGAGGGGGGCACTTAATGGGATGAGCACTGGGTGTTATTCTATATGTTGGCAAATTGAACAATAAAAAATAAATTTATTTTAAAAAAGAAGTAAAAAAGTAATGTAATGCAATCGAAATGCAAATCTGCCTCCTTTTCCCACCTAAAGTTTTGATAAAAATGCATGAGATAAAAATGTCATGGGATTAAAATTTATTTTAGTTTTTCATCTCAGGATTATTTATTAAAATAAAAGATTAAAACCAACCTAATTGGTTCCATAAATTAAATCACATCTACACAATGGAACACAGTACATCCATAAACAAACAAAAACAGTATAAAAGAATGCGTCAGCTCTGCATGTGCTAATATGGAAAGATCTCCATGAGATACTCTAAGTACAAAAAGCAAGGTGTAGTGGAGTGTGTATGGTATGACACCATTTGTGTAACAATAAGTAAGAGAAATTATATTTAATTGTAGATGTGCAGACTATTCGAGGGAGGTGCATATGAATTCAGTGATATCAATTGCTTCTTGGAAGAGAAATTAAATGGAGTGGAAGTATACTTTTTGAGGTGAGAATCATGTCACTATATTACTGACAAGTCATCAAAGTTTAGCAAATCATTATAGGTCATAAAAGTAGAATTGTTGAACAGCTCACTTTTATGTATCAGCATGGAAGCACCTCTAGGACATTTAGAAGACTTCTTTTCTCACAGATATGTTGTAGACTCTCCAAGGGCAAGGACCTTGTAATTACTTCCATATTCCCCTACAGTGCCCTAAATACCAAAAAAGTGTGAATAGCATAGGTGGGGGATTTTTTTGTATTTTTTTTATTGGAGTTCGATTTGCCTACAGCATAGGTGTTTAATTTAATATTTGGTACTATCATCCAAGATGGGGGTGCTCAACATCCATTGAGCATAACAGTTCCTAACACCTTAATGTATTTCCATCTCTATAATAGAAAGCCAAAGAGGTGGAATACAAGCTGTGTATCCAAAATTCTTCTCATTCTCCTATGGCTGTGCAACCATAAAAGCTGGCAAGGGGTTGAGCATGAAGTGAGAATGCTTTCCTGGGCTCTTACACTGTCACCAGAATGATCTTCCTGCACTGAAAATTTAATCACATCCCTCCTGTGTTTAATCAGCCTCTGCCACAAGGATCCCCATTTAAGAACAGAATAAAGGTCTTATACTCTTTATGACTCCATGACTTTGCACATGATGCTTCTCCTTTTACCTCTGCCTCACCTCTTCTGTGTTTCTTCTCTCATTTTCACCTTTCAAGCCCAAGTCAAATATCAAATGTCAAATGTTACAAATTCTATGAAGCATTTCCTGATCCTTCACCACCCCTCTAAAGTTAAGCCTTTTTCCCCCTATGTTACTAAAGCACTTTGCATATGTTTCTATTTTAGCATTGATTATATGATATAGTAATTTTTTGCATATGGGTCATTCTCTCCATTTAATGAGTTCCTTAAAGACAAAGAATATGTCCTATTCATATCTGTCTCTACTCTACTTTCATCTCCAACTCTTCTCAGCACCTAGAATGGGACCTGACATAGAATAAGTATTCAAATATGCATTTAAAAATAATTATACTTATTAAATGACTCAACTAAACTCACACAATTGATTAGGGGATGGTCAACCTTTGGCTTCTAGTAAATTGTTCTTCTATTATATAATGCTGATATTTATCCTACAGGGTTGTTGTTCACCTTCCTAAAGTAGAGTCCTAAGGATATTTCTAGTTCTTGCAATTGGATATTTGTTTTGGGGCCAATTTGACAGTAGAACTTGTGCTAAGGAGTGGAGAATCTTGAGCATCTCCTCCAGGATCAGAGACCAGCATTGCCTTGAATCTTTGAAAAGGAAGCCTAAATTATTCATTTTTTCATATTTTAACACATTTGTTCAATATAAATATGTTAAATATAAATTTAAGTATAAACTTCACATATCAATACGTTATAGCCTGCACCAAGTAAATACTTGTTCGACTAACCCAGGCTGAGGGAAGATTGAATGGCCTGAATTTCTGGGAATGGGACTGGCCTCTGTTGAGAAGATCATCAATTTCTAATATTCATGTTCCTAAATCTGGAGTCATAGGTCTTGGAGATTTGTAAGTTGTAGAATACATTGAGGGAAAAAAAGATGTGAAGAGGAGGGGATAGCTCCACCTGGAAAATCTAAGAATCATTGCCTCTTCCACCATACCAGCTGCCATCTGCCAATGAGAAGGCATGGAGAGTGGTAATTAGAGCTAATTGGGTTTCTTCTTTTTAATACCTGAAACAGGGCCTCATTGAGATCAGGTAAGGAGATCTATTAAAGGCAAGCTGTTCTCTGAATATCAGTTATTTCAAAGTACTTAAGAAGGCTGATTATATGTCATGCTCTCCAAGGATAACTGAAGCTCAAAATGGTGGTTTGTGTAAGTTTAGGGACTTGATTCTTAAACCAAATGCAAATAAATCCTTTGAGAAAAACCTAAATTAGAGTATGAAGGCAATGCCTTTAGAAAGAATAGATACTTTTGTATAGGGCACAGTTCAATTTAGCCTATATAAAGACAGGCATCTGGATAAAAGTGAGAAATTCAGGTAAATATTCAGCTTTAGGGGCACTGAATATGCAAAATTTTCAGATACCTCTTTGTATTTTTCACTATCTGAAAATTCCAGTATTCAGTTATGCTTAAAGAATAGGCTTACCACTCAGACACACTAGCTTGTGTGTCTTGGCTCTGTGACCATAGATAAGTAAATTAGCCTTGCTGATCTTTAAATCCATCCTGTGTAAAATGGAAATTTTAGTATCTATCTTACCTCACTAGGCTATTATGAGGATTAAAAGAGATAATGCATGTAAAACCCTTGTGCATAAGACATAATCTATGTTAATTATTTTGTTAGTAGTTATGATGATCATGATAATTATGATGTTGTCATTGGGCCCTTTCCTGCTTTGATATAGTAAAGAAATATCGACTAAAAAGGTACCTAATTACTATATAGTAGTCTGACTGCTGAAAAGAGAAACTAGAGGCCAAGCTTCTGAAGCTTCTCAGTTTTACCAGAGCCTCAGTTTACTATCATGTCTGGCAAGTAAAATACAAGCTATTTCATATATTAGTTGACTGAGCAGCTTTTGGAAGTTTTGAATTCTGCTGTCCAACATCTGACTTTTAATGGCAGCCCAAGCAAGAAGACCAGACTGGCTCCACCTTAATCTTTTTGCAAGAATCTTTCTTTCTTTCTTTCCTTATTGCCATGTTTCTTTTACTAAAATCCTTCTGACAACAAGCAAAGTGCAGAGAAACAAAGGGGGTGCTAGTAAAAGTTATAGCATAGAAAATACAGTCAATGATATTCTGATAATGTTGCACGGTGACAGATGGTACCTATACTTGTGGTGAGTACAGCATAATGTAATAGAGTTGTCTAATCACTATGTTGCACATTTGAAACTAATGTAATACTG